TTAGGGCATTTTATGCTCAAAATTAATTAAATTACTATGGGCCGAATCTGACAACAAATGGAGAATGAAGTTTTAGTGTTCTTTTCAACATGGAACATGTGGTTTGTAACGTTACAGCATCAGTATAGCCTTACCACTATAACGGTACAAACCACTTATTCGAAAAACTTCATTCTCTATTTGTTGTCAGATTCGGCCCATAGTAATTTAATTAATGTTGAGCATAAAATGCCCCAACACCTCAAAACTCATTGAAAAGCAAGCTGTTTAACGTCAACAGGATCATTCCGATGCCTTCGAGTCCTTTGCAAATGATGGTTACCCCCTATTTTCGCATTGCATTCTGGGGATGGGAAACTGGTGAATGTGCTGAAAGATATATACATTGTACTAGCACATAAGCAGCAGTGCCGTGTAATACATAAACAGTCAAACCTACCGAAGGCGACCACCCGGGGGATCGAAGAAAAGCGATCACCTTGGGCAGGTGGTCTCCTTACATCATGACTGAGGAATATGTACTATAGTGGTACTGTATGGTCGGGTTTTGCACCAGTGGGTCTAATGCTTTATTTGTAAACAGAAATTACATTTTCGTCAAGATGTTTAACATCTGTGTCCATAATATCACCAGGGTCCATAATATCGCCACCTTGAGAAACAGTGTGCTTAAAGATATTTTTACTGCAACATACTTTTGGTATGCACTCCTTCACACATCAAATGTACATACCTAGGGTAATTTTTGCAGTAAAAATATCTTTAAGCACACTATTTCTCAAAGTGGCGATATTACGGACCCTGGTGATATTATGGACACAGATGTTATTATTGACAACAAAAGAAAACAGGAAATTATCCAAGAAGCCAGTTTGAGATGCCAAAGAAAGTACATTTTTATTACGCAAACTTCTTTTCAGTTTATAAACTATACAAACGGGATGTTTTTGTAGTTTTTTATTGACAGGATGTACACCGTATCGTTTGTATTAAAGAAGACATTTCAAACGTATTCAAAAGAATGTGTTGAAGGGCAATGTTCTTTATTACTATACTGTTGTCAGCAAACCACTTGATATCAACATGGTGTTGAATGTTTTGTTAAAGTTCTTAAACTGATTTAGAGAATAAAGTTGCTTTCGGAGCACCTTTATATATTTATTGTCACAGTATCCGTTTTAATTCTAATGGATAAAACCTATCACATCCTATGATGACATAATTAGATGGGGTTTTGCTAATTTATTACTATCTGAACGTTTATGAACCTAGATCGCGTGTCCCACTACAGGTGGTAGGCCTCCAAGATTTTTTGTTGAAATCGGTGTTCCAACAAAAGCAGTGTACTTAGTGTATGGTGCCGGGCGTAGATCACGAAGGTTTGATAATTAAAATAACCTTTATTGTACATTCATGCCCTATCGGGCTAAGTGCAGGTGAACAAATGAAAGGGTATAATATACATGTTTGTAGTACAAATAGCTCTAAAACAACACTAATACAAAGGTTCAACTTCTTCTCGTTTCTAAGTGATGTCAAAAATATAATTTAAAATGGGTTTGTTTAATACAGGATTATCAAAGCGCATAAGAAAGATGAATTTTTCAATATTAATCAAGTATTGGAAGTACGGAAACATACTTGTAATATATCTAAAAAATCATTTCTATCATTACTATATAAACTACAATCAACGACAAAGTGGGCTTCATCTTCTACTTTGTTTGAACTACAAAATTGGCAGATTCTTTGCTCCAGAGTTGTGCGGTTGTGCCTTCCTGTTTCAATGCTGAGTTTATGACAGCTGATTCGTAGTTTGATAAAACCCCGGGCACCTTGCAAACTCCTTTCGTGGACCGAGCACAGAATTTGTTCAGAAAGAAAGCAACAGCGATTTCCACAAAATCTCGGTGGCCTACCGCCCATGGTCTCACGTAGTAAAGCTCACCTCAAGTGCCCTGTCGGTCAGGGGTGAACGTTCTTCACGTGATCAGTCAAGAATGTTTATCCAACCAGTTTGTCCACATTCCAGTCGAGCAGGAGCTCACAGTTGAGAGTCACCGGTCTCTTTTAGACAACGTATGTGTCATTTGCTATAACCTAAACTATAAGAGTGGTTTGTCAATGCATTGTTTATACTGTGATTCACAGCGTACATGAGAAAACCTATGGAAGGGATTGATATTCTTTGCGTGTTGGCTTCATTGTTTACAGACTTGCCTTGTTGGTGTGCTGACCTACCTGTGCCCTTTCAGGTGTTGCTACAGTTTAAAACGTAGTCTGCTTGGGGGTACCATTACGTTTGCTTTGTGTAAACGGCCATTATTTTATCGCTAAATTTTCATCACCGCAAATTTTTTATCAGTTCCGCCCCCCTCTTTCCCCAAGGTTGTTACTCTACGATGGCTATCACGCTTCATTTTTTGACTACAACATGCACACTAGGCACAGTACTTGTGGTTCACACAGGAACAAGCAATGCACTGGTGTTCTTACAGAAATAACATATCTATTATACAGAAATTATTTCATAGCTTGTATCCAGTATCCTAAAGCAATTGAATCAGATCGTTTTTCATTTGCCCCCGTGAACCCACTTCATACATTGTCTATTCACGTCATTTTCAGGTTATCTAAGGGTCACTAAATCGCTGCAAACATGCAGGAACACGAGTACCAAGGCATTAGGTTTCCTGGTGAAATTTCTAAGGAAACTTTGGATGTTATTCCTGACTACCCTGTCCGTGATAACGACATTTTCGTCGTGACCTACCCAAAAGCAGGTAAGCTGTATCTTTCTCGTGTGGCGTTCTCTAGAACTTCGTAATTTTATCGCGTTTGGAAGCGGTCACCTTTCATCAGGGTCAACCTGGGTTAACCCAATTTGCTCCGTAAACAGCTGCGTAATAATTATGAATAGCGTTCAAAAAACATTGCGACCTTCTGGAAGCAAGAAACACCAATCGGATTTATTATAATACATAAAGTAATAGTAATTAAGGGTTAATGACCCGCCCCGAGGTGAATATGGTGTGATAAAGCCTTGTCAGTTGCTATAACCACCGAATAACGCAGCTCACTCAGTGGCTTTATTCGGTGGTTATAGCAACTGACAAGGTATTATCACACTATATTCACCGATAAAGGGCGGGCCATTAACGCTATTATTATATAGCCCATCAAAACTTACACAATTAAGAGTGACACATTCCTGTACAACACATACAAACTTAAATAGAACATTGTGTTCCATCCGGAGCCACCTGAGGTCACTGGGGAGGGCGTGTTCTATTTGGGTCAAAGGCAGTTTAACTGGTGTTCTTATGGGAGTCACCCGAGGTCATTGGAACGCAATTCAAGTTATTTTTGGATTGTTTAGAACAAAGGGGTGTTCTGAAGCCACTCAGCTTGACACCTGGGCACATCACAATGACATGTTGTTGAATGTCAAGAAGAGTCAGTCGTTGCTGATCTGTTTCAAGAGAAACATCCCTGCAATACCGTCACTGTCTCTGGGAGGTGAACCTGTTCCAGTCACTAGAACAGCAAAGGGCCTTGGCTTTACATTTGACAGTAAACTTTCCTTCCAGGATCATGTGAAGTCTACCGTTTCAATGGCCTCCAGTAGGCTACACTACCTGAGATTATTGACCAAGCAAGGCATGAGTGTTGTTGATCTGGTTCAGGTGTATTTGTCATTGATTCGTCCCGTCCTGGAGTATGGACACGTCCTGCTGGTTGGGTGCAATGAAAAACAGTCCGCCAGTATGGAACGCGTCCAGAAACGTGCCCTACGTATAATCTCCTGTGGTGGTAGACGGGCGGTTCCAAACCTACCTACCCTGAAGGAAAGAAGGGAGTCAGCAGCAGTAAATCTCTTCAAAGCTATGCTGAACACTGATCACCCTCTGCACGACCTTGTTCCCCCTGAACGTGCAATGGCTACAGGGAGACAGCTTAGGAACAGCAACACGTTCACTCTGCCCAAAGCGAGGACCCTGCGCCTAAAAAAGTCCTTCATTCACTGTGCAGTAAGACTCTTCAATGCCAGTGACAATGGCTGATACATGTATTTGAAAACCTATGCCTGTAATTTGCATGCATATAGCAGAGTGAATGGTGTATGTACATATTTGTATATAGTGTGTTTTTCTGTATACCTGTCCTGCCTTGTTTTTAACCTATTGTAAAAATCAATTACACAATTCAGGGATGCATGCAGCATTCCCTGCTTTTGCATGATTTTGTTGCTTTGAATAAAACTGTAAACTGTAAACTGTTTTTGGGTCACCTGAGGTCATATGTGGGTAATTATTGGCTTGTTTAATGTATGGATTGGGATGAATAAAGACCCAGTTTTGACTCTATTTGTGATAATACGGCGACATAAGGAATGTGAAAAGGAGCCTTCTGTTTGGTCAACGTCATCCGGCTATATGATAATAAAACATAAAGAACATCAATTTCAAAATCAAAACACAAGTCGGTTTGGTATTAAAGAGTAGTTTTAGAACCCATGTTGATTGTTAGTATTAGAAGTCCTAGCAATGGTAGCTTAAATATATGTATTTAGCTACTGCATGTTGTAGTTTTGTATCTGACAGGTTCCCTTAATTTGCAATGATATTTTATCAGGTACAAACTGGATGATAGAAATAGTGAGCAAGGTCATGAAAGCTGCCGGAAAGATGGCTACTCCTGAAGAACACTCCATGTGGTGTTTCGAACTGCAGATGCCGGGGCTTGACGAAAAACCACGTCACGAACTTATGAAGGACGCGCCATCTCCACGTATAATCCACACACACCTACCACTGCAGCTGGCCCCCAAAATGGTCGCCAATCCTACAGGAAAGGTATTGTTTTGTCACTACCTTTGTCTAACCTTGAAATGCACTCTTCTACCATGGAAACTTCTTTCTTATACCAAAGTCCACTCATCAAGATTAATAAAATCGGAAGTTTGTATAAGCATGAGTATAGAATACTGTAAGTATCTGAGGATCTAGTACAACCCCGATATGATGAAACACATGGTGAAAATTGATAGATGATAACGTTACTTTGTATAGTCAATAGCCATAGTCCGTCCAACATGTTAATGAACGTTGAAACAGAGGAAAGAAAATTGACCTTTAGTCTACTACATTTACCCTTGTATGATACATAGAAAGTTTATTGCAAATTCATGCCCGAGGGCTAATTGCAAGAACATAATAACAACAGTGAACAGTAGAATGATAATAAGTGATGCTAATGCTACTTTATATATACATTTGTAATTATTGTTGGTTTGACTTCTTTTCCGTGTGCAGTGGAGTATGAAATGGCCTACATTTTGCTATATATATGAATTGGGAGGTGTTAATAGAAATGCAGTTTTTTGTAGGCTGGGAAGGTGAATAAAGCTGGGGAACATTTTGGTGACCATTTCAAATAACTGATCTCTTTCGGTGCTATAATGAGGGCAGTGACAAATAAAGTGCATTTCATCCTCCACTGCATTTGCTGTACAATATTTACATATTCTGTCGTTAACAGGCAATTGTTTGTATCTACCCTTTTCTATTTCTAATGTCTGAGCGCTAACTCTAAGCTTACATATGGCAGATCTAACATCGAAGTCTTTGATGTGAAGATAACGTTCCATTGTGTATACAGGTTTCAGATGTCTATAAAATCTTAGCTTACCGACATCAACAGAGAGATTGTAAAGAAAGGTTTGGATATACATGTCAGAGAGTCTACTTCTAAGTAATGTACATATGTGTTGCTTATCGAGATCGACGTTGTCGTTATGCCAGATATATGAGAAACCACTGTGGTCAAGTATTTCTTTCACATGGTGTAGCACATTTTTCTTGTGACCAAGCATTAACATATGTTTTTGAGATAGTAAAGCGTCGACTTGTAGGGGATGTGTATTAGCGTCTAGTTGCCTCAGTCTTAACCAATACTTTACTAGGCGTACCGATACGTCTGTGTCTAGTGACAGTCTACCGAGCTCTGCTTTGCATGCTCCGTTGCTAGCGTTTCTGTGTACCCCAAGAATGTTTTTACAGAAGCGATTATGGACAGTTTCAATAGGACAGTTGTCATTTGAAAAATCTTTTCCCCAGATTTCACAACCATATAACATTATTGATTTGATGCACACGTCGAAGATCCTTAATAAAGCTTTTAATGAGATTTGAGAGCGGATAAGAGATTTGATGCTAAAAACAGCTTTGCGAGCTTTTAAAGCAAGTTGTTTCTTAGCTAGTGAGAAACTGCCATATGAGGACAACAACAGACCTAGATAGCAGTACGACGTAGTAATTTCTATATTTTCTGAGCCGAGCAGGAATTTTGTATTTCTGTACATGCGCCCTGTTTTGTTAAAAATTACAATTTTGGTCTTTTTCAGGTTAACCTGGAGTTTCCATTTTGTACAGAAAGTGTTTAGTTTGTCAAGGGCACATTGGAGTCCTTTCTCGGTTTCCGAGAAAATTACGACATCATCTGCATAGAGCAAGCAGGAAATGAATAAATTATGTAGGGAAGGTGGCACGCATTCTGGACTATCTAAAATCTTGACTAAATCATTTATGAACAGGTTGAATAGGGTCGGGCTGAGATTACAGCCCTGCCTCACACCTTTGTCCGTGACGAAGGGTGGTGTTAGACCAGAGGAGGTTTTGATGCATGTTTGCGGGTTAGAATACATTGATTTTATAAGACTGTAAAATTTGCCGCCTACTCCCGAAGTGAGTAGTTTGTATCGCAGACCTTCGCGCCATCATTTGCTAAATAACTAAGTCAAATTTCAATAATAGGTTTCGCAATAAATAAAATTAAATGAAGGTCATGTTGCATGTCTAAACGTGTTTTGTTTATGTCTCAGAAACTTTGAATCTGACATATTACCCACAATCCATCTCGCCACGCATGCGCAGTTGGGACTCGCACTCTGAACCCCCATATTGGCGTGTAGGATAGAAGCGTATTCTGACGTTTGCTCGTAGATTTAACCCTATCTAGACCGGGCTTTTTGGGCTTGGTGGGACGGGGGGGGGGGGGGGGCGTCATTCGTCCCCCCTCAGAACTCGCGAACGGTATATGGTAGGACCACCAAATTTTCAGAGAATGGTGTGCTAGTACTCAGTTGGTGTAAGGCGTCCCACAGTTGACCACAGCAAAGATCTCATTTAATATTATAATGACCTACTTGAATATTGTAATGAGCCAAATGCAGTCTTGAAGCTTGTAAATATGCAACAGTTTGAGTGATAACCCACTGTCTCTGCCCCGCCTGCCGTTTTGCATTTGATTTGCGCGCTAATTCCATCCTGTGGAGTTAATTGGTACCCCTCTTTTGTTTTTCGGCTGATCAAGAGCAGAACGGATGTCAGGCTTGCATAAATACTAGTAACACAGACAAAACAACTGTAAGCAATGATCAACAAGTTCTATTTGAAGCTCTTGCTGTAAGTTACAACACATTTATTCTGATCTGAATCTGGCCCCCACACAACCTGAAGATATATGTAAGTTACCTCCAGCATGACCTACAAAGGGCCCCTTTAGGAAAGGCCACGAATATTAGAACCCATAAAAAAATGGGGATAACTGACAAGGAGAGTGGGCCACAGTGATTCCTCTGTAACATGGCCTCCCGAGCTCCCCCAGACATCATGATGGTAATATAACCTCCTTGTTTAAGAGTCGGGAGCAAGGTCGGCTATAGTGTTCGGCTGTGCCAGTTTAGTATCTAAAACATTAGGGTGTGGACAGTACGTTATTAGAAATTGTTTGGAACATCTTGGAAAAGGTTAGCCCCAACTATTTCCGGTAAAGCTAATCTCTGCAAATTCACCCAGTCTTGACCCGTTCAGACTATATGCCAGACAGTTCCCAGCCTCAATACACATGCTAGGCCGTTATTAGACTCGGTTAGACAAATATGATATACCAAGAGACCATGGAGTTTGGTTAGACCAAGGAGGTTATATTTAACCTCCTTGGTTAGACCCTGTGAAAAAACTTTCGGAAGGGAAATGCTGTCCCCTGGATTGAGAAGGTAGCCTACATAGCGGCCCTGGTAACAGTCTGGCACCCAGGCTATGAGCCGTATAAACTTCTCGTTCAATTGTTGTCAATTTGTTACTGTCTGTAAAACATTTTCTTTCAAGACCTGTATTGAAAAAAAAGGAAAGCTGGGCCGAGTTGTAGTGAACAATTACTGCGCATAACAAAAGACTGCCAACCTTTTGTCTTGTGGCAAGGGCAAATTACAGATAATTACGTCTCATAGAGGTGCTAAATACACGACTAATTGGCCTACCGACGTGATTGACAGCTAGAATTTGCTAAGAAGGTAAAGATTCATAATCTTAACTTTGAAGCGTTTTGAGGAACTATAGCCATGCCCAGGGAACGTCAGATTCGAAGTAGAATGATTGGTAATGTCCTGAACTACCCAAACCTGTTTAGATCCTTTTGCTTATCATGAACTTTCTTTTGATATAGGGCAAGGAAGTTAGGGTTACCCTAAAATTATGGCATTGAAATGGACAAAAACATATTTCATAAAAAGCAGGAATAATATTTCAAATATATCAAAACAGTTTCTAAATGGTGACAGACGTAAGAATGTACCCTCCAAAAAGCGTCTGTCTATGATGTTGGCTATAGTTCCTCGATTTACGTTTTCTGTCTAAGAATTATGCATCATATCAGACATAGATATATGCAAATATAAGAAATATAACAACATGAAAGTAATATTTCAACACTCAACAAGTTGTATTTTGTCTTTCCCCCAAGTTTGAACCATTTCTGATCAGCTACGGCTGAGTTATGGCATTTTTCCGAAAGGACCTGAAAAATCAGTAAATTGGCACCGTGGGACGCCTTACACCAACTGAGTACATTTTTATCATACGTACAATTTCTATGTCGTTGTGACGTAATATGACGTCATTATGACGTCATTAATGTGATTTTATCGGCCAAAACCGTCTAGATAGGTTATTCCCTTAAAACTAAACGGTATACGACATAACTTTACCAAAAGTGTTTATGACAGAATATTAGGGTGTACTAAGTCTTATGTTGCCCATAGCAACACCGGTGACGTCATAAAATGACGTCATGCATATATTACCTATCCGCCATCTTTGATCATCAATGTTGAATTTTGAAAAAAAAATTTCAGGATAAAGCCTAAAATACATTGTAAACAGACTAAAGACGTTCATATGAGCCTTTTTTGTAAAAAAAGGGAGTATTGATGAAATTTCCAGGAAAATAAGCTGTATTTACCTGATGAAATGATATGGTCCGCCATCTTAGATTTTGGCCAATGACGTCATCAAATTAGCATAAATTATGCATTTTCATTGATAAAATTTACATATAATTATATGAGATGTTATTAATATTAGAAACCATGAGTAACTTGGCATAAAATTCTGTTGTTGAAACGGAAATTATTAAATTTAGCAAAAAATGCTTGTCAGAAACCCGTTGCCATGGCAACAAGAAAAATCATAATCTTATTCCACTGATACAGTTTTGTTGCCAACAATATTTTAGGAAAAGTCACCATGTTCGGCGGTTCTATCTCTAGCCGTTCAGACGCTATGTGACATCAAAGTTGGCTCGGGCACTTTTGCCCCCCCCCCGGTCTAGATAGGGTTAATCGGCTTTCTATCACCGTCCCTTTGGGTCTTACGTGGGTTTGCTTTTTTCACCAATGCATTTGTTCAGAAATTATGCAAAATACATAGGATTTCATACACATGTTGAAAATAGAGTTCTTTCTTTGTTTTCAGGTAAAAGTGATTGTAGTGATGAGGAACCCGAAAGACACGGCTGTGTCTGTGTATCACTATAACAAGAAAATGGTAGAGACGTACGGCGGTTGTGATGCTATCAAGAAACGTCTCGAATCTTGGGAAGGGTATGCAGAAATATTTCTTAAAGGGAAAGGTAATTGTAACAAGCAATTGCAATATGGTGTCATAGCACCAAAGTGATTTCAATCAAATAAAATTCTCCTGAGCAAGTGTCAAGTCCAAATTTATAATCGTAAACTCTGCCAAACTGTCTTAACAAGCAGGTATGCCCTTTACAAAACTAACAAGAAACAAGCACCCATAAATGCATACAGACCCGTAAAATTACCATCTTGGCAACTGTAAGATATTGCACAAAACTCTTTTACGCAAATAATATCACATACTGGTGAATGGTAATTAAGATGTTAAATGATATTCAAAGTTTAAAACTATCTAGTTTTTCAACACAAAAAAGTCTTTTTTTTCCGACTTAAGGCATTTTTGGTGACTTCTACGACCACGCCCTCGGCTGGTGGCAGATGAAGGATGACCGCCATTTTTTCTTCATCAAGTATGAAGACATGAAGAAGGTAAAATTTCACACCTGAAAATGCCGAGCAACGCTAAAACGTCTTTCTCATTGTATCTCTTCTTTTGGTTAAACTTATACACATAATGTAAATCATCCAGGTATATGTCGTCTTGTATTAAGGTCGTACTTGGAAGATGTTTGACAGATATTGATCTTATTGATATCAATGTTACTAAATTAACGACTAAGTACTTATTTATTAATTAAAAGACTGACAGCAGTGCCAATAGTGTCGCTCAAGAAAGATCAAACTTTCACGTGGTCAACACACCGATCCACATTGCTATTCCCGAGAACCGATTGAAGACTCTTCTGATTAACGTTTCTTCATCGCTTACATGTTCATAAACTTCACCATAATTCTTTCGTAACCCCTGCTTTGACTAGTCCGCTAAGTTTGCCTAAGATAGATGTTTCTGACTTACGAAGACTGCTGCTTCGGTGAGCTTTACTTCAGAAGTGGTCCATGTGGCCTTCTACTTACTAAGCAAACGTTTTACAAAAACAACAACTTTAAATTGTAATGACTGACAGTTTAATGACATCGACTGCGTTTTTTTATTCTCACAGGACCTGCGCAGTGTGATCAACGAAGTTGCATCCTTCCTGGAGACCAGCCTAGACGACGCTGCCGTCACCAACATTGCCGAGTCATGTAGTTTCGACAGTTTGAAGGCATCTTGGGGCAAATCAGAATTAGCTTTGAAAAAACACATCTGCAGAAAAGGTTATTTGCCTGGGTGTAAATTTGAAAAAAAAAATCATATCACCGTATTTGATAGCAGGTGTAGACTTGTACTTGCACATGCACATGGTGGAGACTTAGCTTGTACTTGTATATGTATATGTATATGTATATATATATATATATATATATGTATATATATATATATATATATATTGATTTTATGTAGCACTGCGTGCAATAACTAACCGTTTTGAGGTCTCATAAAGACCCATCCGATTTTATATTTTGAGACAAACCATCTAAGCCTTTTAGAATAATCGTGTTTGCAAAAAAACGCACACAGACAAACATCAAACCACATGAAGACTATCAATTTAAAATATAACCTTGGTGAAGGTAATAATTTTATATTGTTTTGATTTTTGTTCCTTGCAGGTGTGATTGGCGATTGGAAGAGCATGTTCACGCCGGAGCAAAATGAAGCCTATGATGCCAAGCACAAGCTCAGGCTGGATGGGACTGGTCTGGAGTTTGATTTTGAGTAGTACAGTACAAATGTGCATGTAGTAAATGTCAGTGTAGAGATCACGGCCAGGCAGAGTCACTGATTCTGCCGGTATCAAGCCATATACATCACCCTGCCAAATACATGACTCCGAAATCAGGGGTTTCTAATATGAGACAAGGGGTTTGGAGGGGTTTAGTTGTGATGTGGGAGACTAAACCCAACCTATCCCCAATTTTAAGTCTAACCCAAGCAATGATCCCAACTATAACCCTAACCCTAACTCTAATATCAACCCTAACCTTAACCCTAGCTCAACACCTGATCTCTTACGTATGTAGCAGCTCAAGGATTTGGCCCAACACTGGTAAAGATCCCGATCTCATCAGGGGAGGGAACATCTAATCGGCATGTGCATGATGCATATTTGTTTGTTTTTTTGTTTTTTTTCCTGAAAATTTTTCCTGGGCAAAATTTGTTCAGATAGGCCCAGTTTTCTGGTAAGAAGGACAGACGAATGTATGTCTTGAAATATACACCTAAAATGTGACCTTATTTGATTTTTAGACTGCTATTAACTTCTTCACTCGTTGGATCGACCCACTGGGACAGGGGGTAAAGTCGTAGTGTCATTTCTATACTTTTACCGTCGCTCATTAAAGTGCCAATATGAGTCGACCTTCCATTACTGCATCTAAAGAAACCTTGACAAATCCAGTTTTTCAGTGGGGGGTATAGACTTCACGTTAATTTTTGAAATAAAGGTAAGTGTGCTTTAAAATGCTTGATTTTGTCATGGGTTTTCAATTGAAAAATTATTTAGTGGTCCCTGCCCATCAGAGTCTCTATCGACATAGACTATCAGAATTGCTCTGTCAGCCATTTACAAATCCTAAATGCCAAGCAAGTAAATCCTTTGATGTACAAGTGCATGTAAATTCCTTATGGATATAGTATAGCGTAGCTTATAAAGTACGTGTAGAGCAAGTGGAAGGAAGGGCTGGAGGGCACCGGTCTGCAGTTTGACTTTGAGTAAAACGCCAATTCTAGCTGGTGCCCATTCTATCGCGGTTAAGGCAGGTTTTCTTCGCGGCTGCAGGAGCTCTTAGCCCGCCCGACTCAGCTAGGTTCCCCGGTAGATTTTGCACAACGGCTCCTGGCGTGCAAAACTCCTACAGACGTAACACTCCCACCGGGCGATCTGTTGAGCTGGTAATTAGAATAAGTTATAAACTTGAGTGCAGCGCCACACTGTGTTACTGTTTTGTTGTGTTGACGAATCAAATAAAGGCATTGCTGATTCGGCCGTAATCATTTAATAAGCGTATCTAACGTTCCACTTATGAAGGATCAGTTGTGAATACACGAAAATCTTATTATCAGAAATACCAGTTACTCAGGTTTAGCGGTAAAAATGTCATTCGGCTTCCGTGCCAGAGTGCTGATTTCCTCCACTTAGTGTCTCCATGGCAACGCAAAGCGAACGCTGTGGAACGCGAAGTTGGTCCGCCATTTGCATCTGTCTTGGGCTTGCCTCAAAGTAAGGAAAAAATCGCTAACGATAACCATTTATTTGTCACAGAAAGAATACCCTCGTAGCCTTTAGGTTTTGTGAAATAAGATGCATGTATTGTAGTTGATCTGAATTAGATGTTTTTCATGAAGGAATGGATTATTTGTAAGAAATATCATAACTGTTCTAACAATTTTCATGTGTTATGACGTCGAGAATTCAAAACGATGCCATCTAGAAAAATGTCATAATTTGCACATTTTACGTCGCCAAGGACCTCATAGCGAGGTCATTTGGTTCAAAATCTGTTTGTGTGTGGCTGTGTGCACCGCTCAGCAAAAATCAGCGTAGATAAAACTTAGCATCAACGTTTTATTAATCTGCAGCAAAGCTTCGTTGGATTTTTGGTGGCGGAAGAATGTTTCCGAACTGACAAACAGACGCCGGCGGCCAGCTAGCACTGCAGGAAAAACGTCTGCTACACCCACAGAAGGACCGATGTCTGCACACCAGGAGAAATTCGGCTCCGCCGAGCAACAACAACATGCTGTGGCACCATCGGCGGGCCGCCATGTTTTTTGAGGAACAGAAACTTAAGAAGCAGCTAGATCTCCTGGAGTTTGAAGAAAGGGAGTCGACGATTAAACTGAGGAACATGGACAAAGAATTAAGAAGGTATGTGTCTGTCATTCCCAATCAGATGTCCAGGAGGCGGTTAACTGCATCCTCCCATGGCAGGGGCAGCGGCTCCGAATTCCTTCTCCACCCCTTACCCCTGCCGTATAACCTCGCATCTTCTACTCTACGACCCCAGGAATATTAATATTCATGAGCTTGCCTTATTTGGCATGACCCCATTTCTGACTTGGGCGGCGAAGGGACGTCACCCTCCCCGCCGCCGCCCGGTGACGAGCCCGTTAACGCGTTGGGGAGGCCGTGCGGGGCAAAGTCACCGAGCCAACACCTTCCCCGTGCTCGGCGGGATCCCCGCGCAGCCTCCAGCACACGCTAGCGCCCCGCCGACGCCCGCAGCGGCCTGCATCGCAAAAGTTCTCTTCCCAAGACGACGCCATGTTTGTTTTTATTTGTCACTGAACAGCCGACATGATTGGTTCCGATAGCTAGCGCAGCTCATAAATATTTAATGTAAAGTGCGTTGAAGATTTTCTCTGTGATACGTGATTGGCTGAGAGCGTTTCCCTGGAATCGGGTCACAGAGTAGAAGATGCGAGGTTATACGGCAGGGGTAAGGGGTGGAGAAGGAATTCGGAGCCGCTGCCCCTGCCATGGGAGGATGGTTAACTGTTATATAACACAATACTAGAGAAAGTACCATATTATATATTCCAAAAACAGGGAAAAACAGGGAATGGGTCAAATTCTTAATAGATACATTGAACATAATATGAGATCACCCTTTGTTGTTGACATTTTGTACACAAGTCATGTTTTATATATCAAATGAAATTTTACTGCATAATTAATTGGTTTACGTTGAAGAACATATTTTGAGATATGGAAACCGGAAGCTCTGTTGCAGAGCATTAGCCCTAGTATAAACCCCTTAATGGTATAAAGGTCATTGTTTTCTTACACAGTGACTTGCGGAGAATGGGGATGGAGCTAAGATCTTGGGCGCTATATCCGGGGCTACGAATCAGGGACTACGTTTACCGACAGTTATCGTGGTGACGGACGAACATGGCGACGACTGTGAGGTCGAATTTCTGTCTCTGGCGAGGACGACTTACTCCAGAGAAGAACAGGTAACGGAGACATAACGTAATGCAAAACCTAGAAGGGTAACATTTGCAAAGCAAATACATTATGTTTACCTTCACCTGGTCTAGCCAGACAAAATACTGCACTGCTTATCTTTGCTAAAATACATTCAAGTATGGTAAGCAGGCTTTCCAAATCTCTTCTGCTGCATAGTGTAACCTAACGCCATAGGGTGTTGCTACAGCACTAGTTACCATGGTGACAAGCGTCTGGCCCAGGTCATTAACCTTATTTGTTCATAATGGAATTCGAAGAAGAAGAAATTGAGAAAAACTACGTGTCCTTCTGTGACGATAAACATAAAGAAAGATACGGAACGTACGTTGTTACACCACACGTGCTGGGATATTGTTCTCCTAATACCAAATATTTCACATCTTTTAACAGGTGTCACCGGTTGCTAGTTGTTTGGCTTCGATGCGGCCCGCTCATGCGATCGTTGTATTCACGTATGTATGTATACTGATAGAATTGTAACGTCACACAATAGATCCTATTCCGATAATTGACCGCTTACTGTATACCACTCCCCCTTACTTGTCTCTATCTTACATACAGTGATCGTGTAATCATACCATTTCTTCCGTTGTATTCGTTAATATCGTAGGAGCAAGGTTTATCCTTGAAACATTGGATGACCTACAGTCTGCTGCTGAGGACAGCGATGATTGTGAACGACCGTAAGTACTACTCCACTATCTCCCTATATGTACATTAATTGTCTCTGCCTTTCATTAACTACATCCAACTTGTCACGCGTGGGAAGCGTAGAATAGACGCATTTTTACTTGTTTTGATAACGGTCTTTTACCGCCGCTACAGTTCACGCAACCGTTGGTGATTACGCCGAAAGACACATTGAACACGAACGCCAGGCCGACCACAACCCTGCGGACCTGGAGTGAGGTCCTCACCACCAGGACAGACACGATCCTTATGGCTACAGGGACGAGGGTTTAAGACGACAGCGACAGTGAGGGAAATGTGGTGGAACTGGAAATTCTACCTCCACCTACAACCCCTCTAGTCGACTTGACCTTGGACACCCCGCCGTCGAGAATCTAGTAAACCTTTGCCAAAGACAAACATAGACACTTTCAA